CACTTATAAATCTACGAAAAAGTTTAATAAAATGTTTAGAACAAAGATGCTCTTGTGTTTCTCAGTCCTTTGAGCTTTAGCTATTTTTTCCCCTTTTGTGTTTATCTTAAACCAATTCAGTTTTTTATTTCAGATTTTCTTGTATATTTAAGCACACTGGTTACACAGCTTTTCCACTTTTTTTATTCTTGAATTCAGAACCTACCAGTCACAATTTCTATGTTTTTATCTAAGCATTTAAGCTTCTTGTACACTGTTTGCATATTCAAATAGAAAGTTGAGAAAAAAAATATATTTGATAACCCAAATTCATCAAAATTGTATTACAAATGAATCCTCTATAGACTTTTACTACATCCTTATTGTAAAACCTGTTATTTATCTTAAAAAAACTATTCATTGTTCTTAAATAAGAACCTGTCAGACATAAATCTTCATTGCCATAATGCTCTGTAAGGTTAGCTCTAAGTAATGACATAATCTGATTATTATAGCATTTTAGGAGAGTTAAAGAACCACAGAATGGCTTGGGTTGGATGAGACTTTAAAGATCATCCATTTCCAACCCCCCTGCCATGGGCAGCATCGCCACCACCAGATCAGATTCAACCTGGCCTTGATTTCCTCCAGTAATGGAGCATCCACAGCTTCCCTGGGTAACTTAGGTCAGTGCCTCACCACTCTCTGAGTAAAGAATTTTCTCCTAATATCTAACTTATATCTACCTTCTTTAATCTGAAACCTGAAAGATACAGAAGACGTGTTTCAGCCTTCTGAGCATTACTGTGCCCTTGTCTGGACACACTCCACAGCTCAATATTCATCCTCTGCTTGGATGACCTCAGTGCAATACTCCAGATTGCACCTTACACGGACAGAGCAGAGGGGCACAATCACCTCTCTTGACCACTCTTTTGGAGCAGCCCAAGATACTTTTGGGCTTCTGGGCTGCAAGTGCAGACTGCTGACACATGGTCCAGCTTTTTGTCTACCAGAAACCTCAAATCCTTCTCCATATGGCTGCTCTCAAGAGTTCTCCCAGTCTGCACACATATTTGGGATTGCCCCAACCCAGATGCAACACCTTACACTTGGCCTTGTTGAACCTCATTAAGTTCACATGGGCCAACTTCTCAAGCTCACCCAGGTCCCTTTGGATGGCTTCTCTTCCTTTTTTCGTATCAACTGCACCATTCATCTTGATATTGTATGCAAACTTGCTGAGGGTGCACTTGATTCCACTGCCTATGTTATTGCTAAAGATATTGAAGAGCACACATCCCAAGATGGACCCCTGACGGACACCATTCATCATCTTCAATGAGTATAAATTTTGAGACCACAACTCATCAGTTGTTAACAGTTCATATAGCCTGTCCTTTTGTTTCTGCCCAACAGCACTTACCTAGTTGTTTAGTGAGAACTTCCCACGTGCTAGCTATTTTGCAAGTGTTACTCAAGAAATACTGCAGTATTTCAACTTTTCTTGAGCATCAATCATGTTGGTCAAAGAGTTCTGAATATATTGCTATATCATAATGACTTTTTTATAGTATGTCATCTACAACATCATTCAGAATCATACAGAATCATACAGAATCATACAGAATCATACAGAATCATACAGAATGGCTGAGGTTGGAAGAGACCTCTGGAGGTCGTCTGATCCAAGGCCTGCTCAAGCAGAGCCATCATTGAGATCACCATGTAGGATGAGTTACGTGTAATGACTATGCAATACTGATTTTATAAAAACGGGTATTTATTTCATTAGTAGTATTAATTCAGAAAATATTTTGCAATAATAAGAATCAAGTACTACTAATGAATATCTGCTTAAGAATCTGAGTAAAAAGATGGACTAAATTAGTTCTTATTTGATTTTTACTCATTAAACAAGCATCGGAAAGCACTCAAAATCCCCTGTACTTGCTTCAATTTTTTTGTATACCAGCTCCACAGACCCAAAGAATTATGTTTAAGTGAGCTACCAAACCTGGGTTTCTCAGTCAGCCTGAGTCTCTCTCAGCTTATCAACAGCTTATGCACTGCTGCTATTCTAATGTCCACATCCTTGCTGTACAAGTGCTTTTCCTTAAGAAGCAGATTTCAGAGTCACTGAAGCATATCCACACTTATCAAGGTGTGAGGTGTGAGCCTTGGTTAAAATACCCAGAAAAGGCTGTAGCCTACAGCACACTCTGGTAGTTACCTGAGTTTCTACCTGTGTTTATGATTTCCAGGATGTGTTGGAATCACTAACTTTTTACAGGCATTTGTATCCAAGCTGACAGCATGCACTGCAGCCTAACACTATCCCAATTGTTTTCCAGCAGAATTCGTGGCAGTGGGCACAGGCTGGACCTGATTTGGAGGATGGAGATGGAAATAGGGATTGTAAAAAACACCCCATTATCATACGGTCTGGTAGTTGGCTACAGTGCTGGTTTACTGACATGATTTGGTACAGATGTTTCATTTAAACTCTAGGTTTATAAAGGTACACATTTTTTTGGTTTACTCTGATTATAACCACAGTCTACTCCTCCCCAGTAATCAACTGCAAGAATTTGTCAAATGTTGTCATTTAATATGTGGGTCACTTCCAGTGCTGTGTTTGTTGCATGGAATGCTCCACTTCCATAGAAACAGATGTTTCAACTTAACAGCAAAAAGAGCTAAACAAGTGCATGTGAAGGCACTGTGCAAATAATGTGTTTCATTTCTGTTATTTATAGCTGTCCACAGCTATCATAATTTTTTTATTTGAAAATTATTAAATCAATTACAAGAAGTTTATCTGCAGATGCTGCCAACAATAATGCACGTTAGGAAACTGCTTCTGGGGGAAAAAGTGGCTTCTTTTTGACTGTTACAGGAGCATTTAAGTGAAGTCAATGCATATCTGAAAGACTACAGAATGAGTCTATGCACCAAGTCTCAGAGTACATGCAGAATAAAATAATTTTTTTTAGATCTCCAAATTCCACTGGCAGATACGCCTGGTGGCCAGGGCAGTGGAGCCAGACTGTAATTTCTCAGCATATTTGAACAGGTGAAGGCCAGCAGAAACGATGGAGAAAAAGAAGATGCTCAGGAGAGAGGAAAAAGGCAATTTCACTGGAATACTTCCCAACTAAACTGGGAATTACGGTTCTATGAAAAACCAGTTCTTATTTTATCTACAATGCAAGCAGAAAATGGCAAGTTTCAGGTCACTGCAGGAGTCACAGTTTTATAATGAAAGTGATGTTTGAAAATGAGCCATACCACAGGTTTATGAAAACACACAGCCAGAGTCATTTTCAACAGTTCTGTAATAATGCATATAGATGGACTGACGACATAAAGAAAGAGCTGTGTGCAACCAAGGTAAGGGCTGACATTTCATGCTGCCTAATCTTTTTTCCAAACTAATCCCAGAATTTCTACACTTGAGCTGGGCTGAAAGTACAGCCCAGGCTATTGCAAAAGTTCAGCATGTTCCTTGACGGCCCACCCAAACACCCCGGACGTGTACTCCACCCACCTAAACTGGGCTTTCTGTGCAGAAGACAGAGCCAGGCCAGATGAAAGAAGTATCTGTAGTTGGAAAGCCTCTGCAAATGTAGGACACAAAAGCAGTAAACAAATCAAACGGGATGCCAGACCAAATGTGTTCCACATTTGTGAAAATAACAAAGTTGAGTCAGGAAGAAAGGTTTATGTGTCTTCTCCTCATATAATCCTTCCCAAGGTACTTTCCTTCAATCCCTCCCAATATTAAACCCAGCACAGACAGCAGCAGTATCTGTGAAATGAGCATGAACACACGGCATCACCAAATGCCTCACAAAGCCACCATCAGCTCCGCATGGCTTGGCACTGACCAGTGAGCAGATGTTTCCTTCCAGGCCTTCCCCCGGGCCTGCCCTGAGCAGCAGCACACTTGGCAGGGCTAGGAAGAACAAACGTGCATACTTCCCTCACCTGCCACCTGTAGCAAGTAGTTGCTCAGGATCCAGGCTGGAAACCCCCTCCTACGGAACTGTCAGATCTATCCCCAAGCCTATGAATTCCTGCATGGGAAAATCTTACCATTCCCCCGAGCTGTGAGAAGGAGCTAAAGAAGCCTGCCTCCATTGGTGGCAGTTCCTGAAGGCTTTTTCATACTTCCTTCTAAGGAAATCATGAAGTGATGTGAGCCAGCACAGCTCTCCTGAACAGATCCCTCAGCATCAGACATCTCCACTGTTTGGTGTCCAGTAGCTAAACTACTGCTACAGAACTGCTGTTCAACATCAAATTTACATTAAATGTTAAATATAAAAAGCATAAATTACTGAAAAGTTTGTCAGAAGGTTCCTATTAATCCATTTTTCCGTATAAATCTTGATGTGACAGAAAAATCACTTGGAGCCATTCATTAAAGATGTGCCTTTGCTTATCCATCATGAAAGATTGATTCAGATTGGATATTGAGTAAAATTTATTCTCCAAAAGAGTGGTCAGGCTCTGCAACAGGCTGCCCAGGAAGGTGGTGGAATCACCATCCCTGGAGGTGTTCAAGAAACGTTTAGATGTGGTACCAGGGGACACAATTTAGTGGGGAAATATTGGTGGTATGGGATTGGTGGATGGTTGGATCTTGGAGGTGTTTTCCAACCTTGGTGATTCAATGTTTCCATGGGAATTTTGGAAGGTTGGGAAATCCAGGAAGCACTTACAGATCTCTTTAGTGCATTTAAACTGAATATTTCATGACCCTATGTAGTAAATAAGCATAGTCCTACCCAAGTCTGCAATAAATAAAATTAATTTTTGTTGAAATTTTAAAATCCTACTGTTTATTCAAAAGTAAGTCTATATTAATTTATTGAATGTTAAGGTATAAGGTTATATTATTTATTCAATAAACTCAGACTTCTCACTGATTGCAAATTTTCTACAGAATAAGTGCCATAAGTTTGTTTCAAATTCATTTTTGTCTAAAAAAAGTTAAGATTTCAGTACAATTTACATGCATGAGACTATGCATTTATTATTTCAAATGCAGAATTTAATTGTTCACAGTATTCAACTCTCATTTTCAATTTTTGCTGAATGGACTTAACCTTTATAGAGTGGGCAGAAGGGCCTCATGAATTGACTGGGACCTTCATTCATGTAGAAGTCTGAGTAAAGAAGGAATGTGTATTAGAACTGGATAACCAGATACTAGGACATCACATATTTTTCTCAATTTCTTTACTAATGAAATCAATATTTGCCTATGTGCACGGTCATATAGATTTAATACATGCTCTCTGGCCAAATGAACCAGAAAAACATTGCAGTAAGACTCAACTGATTTAGCAGACCTCAAAATTCCAAATTCTTTTTACGCATCAGATATGCACAGCTTTGCCTGTGTATTATAGTCACATTCATCTTTCTTCTCTTTATACTTACTTGTCATAGAGCCAAAATCTGGAACAAAGATTTGGGAATCCACCTTCACATTTCAATGAGAAAAGAAGTCTTACTCTGAACATTAGGTGCGGCCTTTTCTTGCTTTTTCTTCTATCTGTTTTCTGTTCACTAGCTAAATTACATTCTCAACTCTGTTCTACCAGCTACTCACAGCACTGTAGTGAATACACGCTTCGTGCAGGTTTTCTTCAAGATTTCCCCTCATATGTACATTAAGGTGCATTATTAATGCACGGTGCATTGTCACAGCTCACAACCAACAACTTGTAAACTTCAGTTCAGTGGTTTTTCCAGTACATATAATCTCCTCTGGTCATATACTTCTGTCCGCTGTCAGGAGGGCTGCGTTGTCCTGCAGCCACAGGAATCATCTGGTGTATGGTCAGCCTCTGATTGCAAAAATCAAGCAAACAATGAACAACTTCTCATATATGTAGGTAAAGCTGAAGCAAAGCTAAACCCAGGAAGGCAAATATCTCTCTACCCTGTTCCGTCTCCAACGAGCTTGCATCATTGAGCTTTGGTACTCTTCTTTGAAATCAATTCCCTCAACAAATGGCTCCTGTCCCATAGATCTTCTTCCTCCCTGAGAAAATAATTTATTTGTACCAGGAGCTTGCATATTCTCTGAGCTTCCTTTGCAACTCCTGGGGGCATGGACATTACCTAGCAAACAGTTTCTTCACAAGAAGTTTGCTATCAATCTCCTGTTTGACTACTCCAAACATTCTCTGGAATTAAATAACTGAAGGAACTAACATGACAACTGGATAGTACTGAATTTCTCAGACTGTTTTCTAGCTGTTCATTTATGCCATGATTCAGTTTTAATTAAAATCTTGCAAAGTTCTTGGACTTTTTCCCCCTGAGTAATGCGCAATTTCATACCATACCATACCCAACATTTCATACCAAAAAGAGTAATTTCAACAAAGATAAGTAGTTTATTTTATCAACATATCACCCCATACTGAGAAACAAAGGCTTAAATAAAAATGGATGAAAGATGAAGAGATGAAGTGCCCAGAGATGCAGCATGCACCACAAACAATTGTTCTGAAATAAAGCTAAAAGGAAACCAGTCAAATTCTTCTGAGCTTAATAAACTTTAGATTAGATCAAATTAGGTATGAGTCAGAACTTCTCCATGCTTACTGTGTAACTGATTTCTACTTTCCTTTTTCCCAGGATGAAAAACATTGGAATTGATTTATCTTTGCAGACTCACAAGATATCTACTTGAATTGAGTTTTCTGAGTGCAAGGAGACAGTCAGTCTGCAAGACAAGAGGACTGTAGTGCACCTGACAACAACAGAGGCAAAGGGAATGGTGAAAAAAAATCATGATGATGGAAGCAGAAAGACTTGCCACAATCTCACCTCATACTCAAAAAACTCCACCTTCTCTACCTCTGAAAAATAAAAGGGTGGACCAGCAGTTTCCGCAGTTATAATGATCTGTAAACTTGGAATTTGGGCTGGTTAGGCATACCAACTTCATAATTTTTCTCAATTCCTGTGTAAAAATAAAGCACGTGTGCTTGAAATAACTGTGAAGCTGCAGACAAAGGCAATTCTGAACAAGTTTGTTCAAACGTTCTATTCTCAGTTTTACCTGCTTTGGGGGACTCAGTCTATTGGTCAGTGGCCCCTGCTCCTGTGCAGTGTTTTGTTTCCCTCAGCAGTTTGTGGTGCACAGAGCTTTGTTCAGTTCTGTGGCAGCTTTGGACCTCTCTCAGAGAACTCAGATGGGGAAAATCATTTTTCCTGCCAGCAGGCCAATGCCAGCTGTGCACTACATTTAATGGCCTTTTATAAAATTTGGTAGCTGTCTCAAGAGTTCAGAAGAAATATGAGGATTTCATTTAATGAAGTAATTTTATTACATAGAAATCAATCTCTTGCTAGGATTTTCTAACTGCAACAAGATTTTCTACTACATTTTACAGAACCTCTACCTAAATCAATCCATTAACTTAGGTAGAAGAAGATGGCATCTATGGGATCTTCATTAAAACACCAATATGAAACATTTCAAACTGTGTTTGCAGCCCCTTCCTTGTTTAATATGGAGCCCTAAATCATAATTATCATCAGCAGGAAAAGAAAAAGCAGAAACTTCTCATGCTGGCAACTGCTCCTGAGTCATATTTTTCTTGAAGAGTACTCTAAATCTGTATATTACAACTACATTAAAGCTTATATGTTTGAGGTCTTAACGAATCTGAATGTTGACATGGGATGGTTTTAATCTCCAATTTGTTTATTGCAAGTGTGCTTCCTGAATATTTTGCTTTTGCTTCTTGCATGCTGGAATCCATGTTTTTTGTTTGTGTGTATGTTATAAAGGAAAAATCCTTGTACGTTTATAAGTTCTTTAAGATGTTGTTATTTGGTAGGGAAGAGGATAATTTTAAAAATGAGACAATGAAGTAAATACAAAAGCACAATTTCCTTTCATGATACTCGTCTTTCTCCTTCTATTCCTAATTCTGCATCTAAATTCCCTCTTCTCTTTCACATCTCAGAACAAATATTTGCAAGGGTTTCCCTTGGATGCAGAATCAGCCCAAGACCTGGAATCTGTACATAGGTTTTATGCACAGATGGATCAGTTTCATGGGAAGTAAATGGCAAGAAGAAACTTGACTGCATGTACTCATATGTACACCAGTGACTTGTCTCAGTCAAGTAGATGGAAGCACATATTTTTAGATTCTGATCTGTAGTTCAGCCACAAATAAAAAATTTGCAAAATACGCCTTCTATGTAATACTTGCTTTGTTCATTCTTTTCCATTTAAGCTAAATAAAAACCTGTTCTATAACGCACTGATCGGGGAAAGGTGCATTCTCAATGAGAAATAGTATTTCTCAGTAAGATCTTACATTCCAATATTTTTTGTGGTCTAAGCACAAAATGTTAATTTCCCTGGAGAGTCAAAGGTTATCATATTCAGGCCCAGGCTCATGAGTTGAATTTCAGTGGTGTTTTCTTCAGTCTTGCCATGAATAATGAGCCTCCCATGCAAGGGCTGAGAAAGTACAACATGCTGAACTGCTGCAAGCTTGGCATCAACAGAGAGCAGCTTGCAGCAGTGCTGCTGGAGAGCTGATCACATGTTCTTTTGAGCATGGTGCATAATTATGTTGTTTTTTGTAAAATTATGAACTATTAAATCTGCGTGACATGTAGACGAGAGAAGAAAAGTTCAAAATCCCACTGTAATTTATGAACATGTGGTGAACAGATGTTCTGTGAGATTTTTCTTCCCCTCACTTTAAAAAATTTGGATTATGTTTTCTCTGTTTTCTCTCCTTTTCTCTCACTCATGTTCAGACTCTGTACTTGATGCTTTATTAGATGTCTCAGCAGGGTAAATGCATGATTAATAATTGTCGATGACAGAAATTTGGTTTCTATAAGCTATGGAATGAAAGATAAATATGACGGGAACAGTTCTACCTAAGTATATATGTTTATGACAACTAAGCCTCTTTAAGACTGTCTGTGTTAGGGTTACTCATGATTTATGGGGATGTCACCACTGACCCTAGATCTGGAAAATCTCTTGCAATTTCTCTTATTGTAATCATCACTTTTTCTTCATATACCTGGGGAAAAAAAAACATCCCCCAAAGAAAGAAAGGAAAAGTTAACATTTTCAGGGTCAGAAAATATTCTATAAGCCCTTCAACTTCTAATACTAAGGCAGTACAAACTTTCTTTACAACAATACACTGTTGTGTGCTACCATCTCTCAATTTACCTGCGACAACAGATGGTCAGAATGAGAGCATTCTTCACGTGTGCTGGCATTCTGAACTGAAACACCAGTTCAAGGCAGACTCTAGTCACAACTTCACTGTTTTACTGTGAAGAAATAAAGAACATTTTGACCCCCTCTTGAACGGAGATGATCTTGATCTTGTAGTGCTATCCACCAAGACAGGGTTTCTCTTCAAGACCATTTATTTTCTAATGAGAAGTAGCAGGTCACAACAAATTAAATCAAATTTTCAGGCTGTTAAATTAAAGGAAAATGTATGATAAGATAGGTAGATAGGCAGTAATAAGTCAAGCAATTGACAAGCTAATACAATAGTCTTTCTTAATTTTGAAGTCTATCACACTTGAAAATACAAAGTTGTAATTTGATTCTTTCTGTTTCTTCAGTTTATTGGAGAAATACCAAAAAGAAACAAAAAAATTTTCTTGGCCATATTTTCCATCTTCTTTAGGCCTAGACAGTATAAGTTTCCTAAAAACAGTTAAAAAAATGTTGCCACTGTGATATTAAATTACTTCTCATATCAGCAACTGATAATTGGAGACTCCTGAAAGGAATCACAACACGTATGTGCAAGGAAGTGTACTGTCTAGGAGCAGAGATGAAGGAGAAGAATATTTGAAACATTATCAAGGAAAGTCAACTGTAACAGCTGGGGGGGGGGACAGGACTGTGTTATGAACACTTTACAACTATACTAGTAATTCCCATGAACTAAACAAAACTACAGGCCATTTACTTATCATTATTTAAAAAGACAAAGCTCCCTTTTGATACGTAAGCAACTACTGAAGATACTTTTCTCACTCAAAGTTTCTGTTGTGCAGAAAAAGACGTTTTCTGGGAAAAAAAAACTTACTGCAGATATGGAGGGCTGAGCAGTCAGCAGCCACATGAAATTCAACAAGAACAAGTGCTGGATTTTGCACCTGGAATGGGGCAAACCTGCAAAAATGTACAGAACACAGGACAAGAGGCTGCAGAGCAGCCAAATGGAAAGGGAGCTGGGGGTTCTGGTTGACAGCAAGTGGAAGGTGAGTCAGCAGCAGGCTCTGGCAGCCAAAACGGCCAAGGGTGAGGAACATCAGGCCCAGCACCGGCACTGGGCGAGGGAAGGGGTTGTTCTGCTCTGCTCTGCGCTGTGCGGCCTCACCTCAAGCACTGGGTGCAGTCTGGGGGACCACAGTATAAAAAGGGTATAGATTAATATTAGAGAGCGTTATAGATCACTGTCAGCATCTACAAGAGCACAACAAAGAAGGGGCAGGGTCTGGAGGGCGAGATGTGCGGGCAGTGCTGAGGCCCCTGGCTGTGCTCAGCTCAGAGCAGAGGAGCTGAGGGGAGGCCCGATGGCGGCTGCAGCTGCTCACTGGGAGCAGAGGGCAGCGCTGAGCTCTGCTCCGTGTGACAGTGACAGGGCTGAGGGAACGGCATGGAGCTGCGTCGGGGGAGGGGGGTCAGGGACAGGGGCTGCAGCAGGGGGCGGTGGGCACGGAACGGGCTGCACGGGGCAGTGGTCCGAGCCTATCGGAGCCGAAGAAGCATGTGTGCAACGCTCTCAGACCTAGGGTTTGATTTTTGTGTGGTCCAGCCAGGAGCTGGACTCCATGATCCCTGTGGGTCCCTCCCAGTTTGATATACGATTTTGTGAAATTACTCAGACGCCTGCTGTTACAGCATTGTCTTCCACTGGGTCGGCAGGAGGATGGAAACTCTCTGCTTTTCTGCATCTCTTCTCTCTCATCTCCATGACATTTTCACCAGGTAAGTTCGCATCTAAAAATGAGAAATACACCTTCAGGCAATATGTAACAAGCTTGGGAAATGTACCATCTGTTTTGGGATAGAACATTATGCATGTATATAATGCATACATAAAGACTTTCCTGCTTGAGAACCATAGTTGAACAAATTATATAAATTATTCTTTCTTATTACCAATAATGCATACTGATAGAAACCTTACCTAATTTACAGTCCAAGAGAGTACGAAGACTGGTGAAGAGTTTTCAAATATGATACAAAGCCCGCTTTCTGTCATGCTAAGGTTTGGACTCTATCTTTGCTTTGAGTTCAAACCCACATATATCTAAAAGTGTAAAACAAAAATAAATGAAATAAGTTATTCTGAAAAGACAGGAAGGGTCTGCACTGTATTCTGCACTGGCTGCCTCCTCCTCTGAGGCTCTTAGAAAAAAAAAAGAAAAAAAAAAAAGAAAGCAGATTTATTTTCTCCTATCTGCAGCTTTGATCTGAGCTGCTGGCAAAACGTTCCTCCTCAATATGAATTACCAAAACCAATGGAAGACTCCCAGTAATTTATTTGGCTCTGGAACAGCTTGTTCTAAACATTACTTGTCCCATAGCTTTGAATTGGACCACAATTTTACCATGGACAGAAGAGGTAGAAAAGTCAGAAATAAGGAACCTGTGCCAAATGTTCTATCAACTTCCAGAATTGGTTTCGTTGTGAAACTTCATTACATAATGCTGAAGCAAAGCAATAGTTCTTAATTGCTTTAGAGGACAGAATTGTCTGAAGTACAGCTCCACTCATGAAATGGCTCCATGTTTGCCATGCAGCATTTCAGGGTTACCGAAAACTGTGGGTTCTCAGTAGAAGCTGAGAAAAACAAATAAGAAAACAGAATAACATTGCTTGTTTTAAAACATGATTTCACTTAATGCTAAGGCTCCTAAAAGCCCTCAGCTGTGAAACCCATGGCTGTGAAACCCAATGTGCAGCCCTTGTAAATCACACGTGGCAGTGGAGGGTCCTGTCCTGTCCCTTTCCACCAGCTGGGGCAGCTCCTTCTCAGCCTCTCCTAAAAGTTAATTCATCATGCTGAAGCCACCATCTAAATGTCAAGGGTGAACCAGGGTCTCCAGAGCTAAAACCACCATTTCATCCATGCAGGATATTTTGTTCACCTCTCGGCATTTTAGAACAAGTTCCATTATGTAAACTATTTATCTTTGTGAGTGAGAATTACTGTGTTTTAATTCAGAGATTTTTCTCTTCAGGGCAAAGCTTTCATTTGACAGTACAAAGCAGAATGCTTCACTACATGCTTCCATGCCAAAGGACTGGCTCACCCAGATGGTTCTCCAGGGGTTTCAAGCTGTTAGAGCACTTGGTTTTAGCTTGAACAGTCTGGGTGGGGCTGCAGCTGGTAAATTTTCATGCCACCCGCAAGTCTAGGCTGAGATGGACATTCACATTAATTCTAGGTCAGTGAGGTTAATGATAATGAGTAAGTAGATTGGGTAGGTTGGGAGTCTTAGCAACTGTGGAGGCTCCACTGACAGGCTTGAAATTACCACCTCTGAATTGCACTGTCTTACAGTCTGGTTTATACAGCATAAGAAACAAGACAAGGATAATTCAAGAAACAGTCTGGAAAGATTCATCCCACTATAGATGTCCAAGTCCTGTATGCAGTGTGCAGTATACAAGGGTTCTTCTGAAAGTAATGCCTTTTATTTTATTATGTTGGCCCACAGTGTGTGAGGCAGATGTTGGTAGCACAGCAGTAGAGGCTGAACCTTCCCTCCAGTATCCCATCGGATGTTGTTGCAGTGGGACAGATGGCAGCAGAGGGGCACTGACAAAATGATGTCTGATGTGGAAATGCAAATGAAGCAAAGGTTTGTCACTGCATTCCTCCATGCACAAAAAACTGCCCTCAGTGACATTCACTGATGCTTGCTGAATGTCTGCAAAGACCAATCAATGGATGTGAACACAGTGAGGCAGTGGGTGCTGAGTTTCAGCAGTGGCATCAAGCGACAGTGGATCACCTCTACAGGTGCAGATTTGTACAAGTGCAGCGTGCAGGCTCCTGTTCACTGCTGGTGAAAATACACAGCTAATAGTGGTTACTATGCTGAAAAACAGTGTTTTGTAGCTGAGAATTGTATCAAACAGCATTGTTGTCTAGAGGTTGATCATCGTGGTCCTTCTCAACCCAGTCCATTCTATGATTCTGTGAACTTTTTTACTTATTTACTTATCTAATTTATTTTTTATGGAAATAAATAGGAAGCATTAGCGTTGGAGTGACATTCATTACTTTTGGAGTGACCTTATGCATATATATATATGCAGGAACACATTTCTTCTGTTTCATGCCTTTCATCTGTAAAACCCATCTCTGAGAGTTGACTGATATCAGTCCATATTTAAAGGCCACATGCCAGTATTACAAATACTGGTATCTTACATAAAAGCAAAACTAATTTTTCTCCCTGGTCATCTCACTTATTCATTTCTGAGACAGTGTACTTCTTCCAGATGGACTGACTATAGGTAGATTTTTTCAGAGATGGAAAGATAGACAGAGACAAAGATGGTTAGCATAAAACTGTAATATATGTTAATTTCACCCATTTTTTACAATTAATGATAAAGACTACTGATCCTTTCAGATATTTCTGACAATCTCACAGTTCCCACCAACGATGCAAAAGAAACCCTAAGAAGAATAGATAAAAGAAGTTAGCACACTGGGTATGTTGGTACTTTGGAATCTGGTATAGCGTGATGCTGCTGACAGAAGATCTGTCCAGCTGCAGAATAACATGTGTTCTTACGTTTGATATCCTGGTCAGAGATATTCAGGAAGGTCTGAAGTATTGTCAAACTTAGGTGCAAATCCCACTCTTGGCTTCTGCTTTAGATTGCCTCCAGAATCCTCATGTTAGCAACTAAGCAAAGAGTGTAAAAGAAAGGAAAACATGCGTTTTATTAGTGTTGAGAATAAACTCAGGATTTATTTCTGTCTTCTAAGGACTCTTACATAAATTTCAAATATTTTTGCTGTTTGATATATTTCAGACATGCTGCCCTGTACTAATGAGAAGGAAAAAGAGGATATGCTTCCTCTTTTTTTCCTGCTCTCCAGTTGGTCTGAGCTTAGTGCAAACATAAGGCTTTGAAAACTCTAACTGGTTCCAGCTGAATCCTAGAGAGCCTACAAAGACCTAGTTCCTCTTAGGCAGATTGAGGAAACATAAACTCCTCTTCTGACATAGCGGTGTGAAGCACTAAAAGCCCCAGCCACTGGGAGAAGTTCTGCAGAGCTACGCAAAAGCTTATCAGAAGCAGAACTGAGTATGCTCTTAAGTAAAAGTAATAATTAAAAAAAAATTAAAACACATAAACATGAGACTGCAATAACCAGATATACACAAGAATGGACCTCATCAAGAAAGTATAGAGAATTGTATCCCGTGAGTTATTTAAAGCTGGACTGGGCAAAATAATGCAAAATACACTGTACTGAACGATCTTTCATTAGGAGAAAGAAAGATACAGTGAAGTATCAGGTCATTTTTCTTATTAGTAATGTCTTCTATTGCTTTTGAAAATAACCTTGCTTGCCAGACAGATCCTTGCTGAGGGACAGAAAAGCCTCACATTTACAATGACAGGATACAAAGAATGAGTCAATGGGGAACCCGTTGCAAAACGCATTTTTGACAACATTTTGCAAGTTGAAACATTGTTCTTTAGGTTATTGTTCATAAGGAAATACAAATCCAAAAGGTAAATTTTAATGGCAGGCATTGTGCATAACTGCAACAGTTTTCTTGTAAATTTGTCAACGTATTCAAACAAATGAACCAAGGCAGAATTAGGGCAGTGAAAGACAAAGATGAAAATCAATATAATTCTGAGTAAAGCTGGTGCTCTTGCAGTATACTCCTATAGGGATTTAGTTTAAAAGTTTTTTCCAATACCCTAGTATTTATTTCTTTCCCAGCTGTTGATAGCAGCTATCATATGCTTGCGCTGATGACAAAAGTGGCAAATATTTGTTTTTATGGAATGTCTCATTTTAGCTGTATGCAAACAAACACTATATTGTAATGCTGAACTGGAAGCCTTTCACTGACATGAAAACACGGAAGAAATTTAATTGCTTCCGTAATTCTTCATTTGAGTTAAATAAATCTACTCAGATGTGTAACCTGAAAAGACTGCAGATGCTATGAAATGAAACCTTTTGTGCTTCCTTCAATAGAAAATGTGAACTGAGAGTGTTTATGCAAACATACAAGATAGAAAATAGCACACTTCTAATTTAACTCTAATAACAGCTTCCAAATATCATCTGTAAATATTTAAGCAGGGACAAAAGGTACTCCTTTGTTACAGCATTTCATTAAAGACAAAAGCAATGATCTAGTATATTCAATTACAATATCGTGCTGGCAATTGACTGCTGCTCCATCCAGTATTTTCTCATAATGTCTGCTATTTGCTCCCATTTTGTGATTGCTCTCAATTTCTCCTTTTATCAAAAACAGGCCTGAGTAAGTTCATTTTATTTCTTTCTGTAGATCAAGAAAGAAAAGGTAGTATAATTTCCATTAGACCTTGGAATACGCTTTCCTTTGTACCAGCAAGTGTTTTCTTTTTCTAAAAATACAACATTTATCCATCACTGAAGCCTGTTATAAAATAGAAACTGAATTGGCAACACTGAGTAAAACCACATATCCAAACCAATTCTTTTACATCTGCTTTTATTTTTTGGACTTCTTTAACCTTGCTCAGATTTCAGCTCCATGTATCAAGTAAGCAAGAATTTTGCATGGGATAAAGCCATCAACCTGGAGGAAAATGCAGAGCTCACAGGGAAGGTTCTGAGGATTCCGAGGGGTCAGCATGGATGGTGTGAGACTCCCTGAGTACATGGGTGTGCCAGGCACTGCAATGAGCAATGTGGGCTCATGCTAGCAGAACACATACATCGTGCCACTCTGTGAACACAATTATAGAGTAATACAAATTGTTTACTTCTAGAGTTATTTGATTAGTTCTGCTATTAGCTAGGGTCTTGCAAACATTGTCACAATATCACAGAGAAATAAAGGGCATTAAGGATGGTCCTCAGATGAACTTTTCTCATATGTCTGAGTAAAGAGCTATTGTTAGAAAAGAGTGTCTTAGTTTCATTCGGGACACAATTGTTTTCTTCAGAGTGTCTGGTATGATGTGGGAAAGCAATGGAGGTAGAAGGCTGTTGTATGGATTTCTGCATGACGAGTTGCAGAAGCTACTGAAGGAAAGGGTGAATTGAG